AAGTTCTAAAATTAAACAAAAAAGAATCAATTTTCAAATTCGTCTGATGAAAGTATTTTTTGTTCTTTTTCGACTGAAAAATATTAATTTATGTTGTTAATTAACCTTAATTACGACACAGGATTAAAAATAAAAGATTAATTGCTTGATTTCAATTTCAAAATAGCAATACATGATTTTCTTTTGACAGACATTTGCTATTTCGAATCTATACGACCTGTCCTTTAAAACTAACTTAGTTCGACCTTCAATTGATTTAAGCATTTCCAAATTGCAGTTCAGCGAATAGGAGCAATAATACAGCGTTTTCGGGAAGGGGGCGTGAACCAAAAACATGCTGACGAGGGTGGGGGATATTTTGGAGAAGATTTTTTTTTTTTTTTGAATTATAATCGGAGAGAAGAAAAAAAATATTTGACTACATTTAATCATACACGTTAAAAAGATACGATTGAAAAAGTAAACAAAAGTCACTATAAAACGCATCTAACAAATATTGTTATTTTTTCTAATTATTGAATACTGGTACACATTTCGGGACTTCTATTCCCTTCATCAGTCAAATAATTATACAGATTTCCATTTTTAAGTTTAGAGATTCAACACAAACTTGAAACGGACTATAATTCAAAAACCTTCGCGACAAAAGATAATTCGGGTATTAGAAAAATTCTTACAAGTAGAACAAGTAGTGAACATTGCGCAACATATGGTTATAATTCTAAAAAATTATTTTTAACACGGAAACGCGCGTACACACACACACACACACACACACACACACACACACACACACACACACACACACTGGTTGGTGGTAACTGACAAAGTCCAAAGGTCAATAAAATGTAATCCTACATATGATAGATTCAGTTTCATTAGCCGGTACAATGATAATATTACATAAAGAAAGAAGCTTCTTCTATGTGCCGGTTCTCTTCAGGACTTAGGCGATCATAGCTCTCCAGAACTGCCTGTCCTTTGTTCTCAGTATAGTTTGTCTTTTTGCTATATATCTCCTAATCCCTGTTCTGCTAACCATTTATACAAGATTGTTAGATAGGTTATGCACTGCTTCATCTGTCTCCAATGACTTCAGTATGTCATGTGAGTGTCGAATTTTCTAAGCCTTCTTTTCTCACCAGATACCCTAGATATTTCAACTGACACTTTCTGATGTTACAGTATCTGTCTATATTTCTGAGATGATGTATTATGTACACTATTTAAATTATTCGGACTATTGTCCTCATCTTTGTTGCCATATTTATCACAACGTTTCGGCCGTTGCACGCTCCGGCCTTCTTCAGGTGGTTGGAATGTCGAACTGAACCCTGGCAGAGTGGATGAAGGCGTTAGTTAGATCCAGTGACAGGATCCAAAGAGTTTGAGTTCAATACCTCGTTAAGGCAGTGGAGAACTTGGAGAGGGGAATTAACAGGAGATAACTGATAACTGACATCAATTAGACCTGGCACGTGAAACTAGAACAGTCTACGCCAGTGAGTGAAATAAAGGGTTCAGTTCGACATTCCAACCACCTGAAGAAGGTCGGAGCGTACAACGGCCGAAACGTTGTGATAACTATGGCAACAAAGAGGAGGACAATAGTCCGAATAATGTAAATAGTGAATATGATAGGTATCACACATAAAGCGTCTGTGAGTCCTTCTTGGAGAAGGATTATTTTCCAACCTTCAACCCCTCTCTCTCTCTCTCTCTCGCTCTCATAGGCTAGATGTGGCGAGTCTCTAACTGTTCTATCGTTATTTCCATGGAAAGTACTCAGACGAACTACATTCCGTGGTTCTGCCAGGTCTAACCTTCACGGCTAGGACCCGCCATGACACTTCCATTTCAGCAAACCACCAACATTCCCTTCGTATTCCATTGGTGAGAAGTAAGGTTCCACTCGAACAGCTTCTTCCCACGAACCACTGCCCTATGGAACAGACTCCCAAGGGGATGCTTCCCCGGTCACTACAATCTTAACCTGTTCTTGCTATTGTTGGTCATTTTTCATCTGAACTGACATCCATTAGACATGGCACGTGGAACTAGAACAGTCTACCCTAGTGAGCGAAATAAAGAGTTCAGTACGACAACTGAAGTAGGCCGGAACGTACAACGGCCGAAACGTTGTGATAAATACGGCAACAAAGATGAGGACAATACTCCGAATAATGTAAATAATGTTCTGATGTTATGCGTAAGAAACCTTTTCGTTTCTGTTTTTTTTTTTTAATCTTTAAATGTAAAAATATCAAAAGAGTGCTAATAGAAAAAAAAAAAAGCAGTTTTCTACCAATTATTACTACTTTCAAAAGAGATATTTCGTTGTTATGGTAACTCGAATGCCACTTATTATTATAACAAAGGGGTCCCATTAGCGATTAAGAAGATTACGTTGATTGGCAGATAAATCTATAAAGCCACATTGTGTTTTATATTCAAGATATGATTGCTGATTTTGGTGTCAAAGGTTTCTTTTTTTTCTTTCTTTTTTTAATAAGAAGCCTAATGATCTAGAAAGGGAAAGAAACCCTTTTTAAGGGAAGAAACTTTCTTAGGGCTTGTTTTAATAATTTCATCATATCAATCAGGTAAGCGAATATGGAATATCCCAGCTCGAAAAAAAAAAAAAACCGCCTCTAAATCGCTTCTGTATTATTTCATATTTTTTTTTATTTGCCGTGCTGTTGAGGACGTGGGCGATCATGACTCTCCACGACCTCCTACGTCTTGTAGTTATTAGCAAGGGTTGTCTCTTTGCCAGCACTTTCACGTCCCCGTGCCGCCATACATTCACACAAGCTCACCAGGTAGGCGAGCCGCTGTATTCTGTTAGTGTCTTTGCCTTGGATATGTCCTGTGTATGTTATTTGCATATCTGGTATTGTTACGATTGTGGTCACCGTTAAAAATACCTCACCTTATTAAAAAGGAGTCTAAATGTTGTCTTTCCTTTTTGGATGTTCTTGTCCATAGGATCTGTGACAAGTTTTTGACATCTGTTTTTAGAAAGGCTACTTTTTCGGGACTTTATACACGTTGGCACTCTTTTTGTCCCCGACAACGTAAGATAAATCTGATTAAGACCCTAACTCATAGTGCTCTTATGATCTATTCAGGCTTTCTCTGCGGTGAAACTAATTTTATTAAGATGACACTTTCCAAAAATGGATATCTTTTGGATGTTTTGGATGCTGTTATCCGTGATGTCATCAATAATTTTCATAGGGTTAAGCCGCATCTTGTTAAAAAAATATCCTGTCTATTTGCGTCTTCCATTTAATGGTTCAGAGGGTGAGTTTTTAGCTAAGTGAATTATGTTTGCAATCAACAGTTGTTATTTTTCTGCTAATGTTCGAGCAATATTTATTAATCAACCTATTCCTTCTTCCATTCGTAAGGATATCCTCCCAATCATGTTAACTCAGTTATTTACAAATATGAATGTAGTTGTGGACTCGACTACATAGGGAGGACTTCTCAACGTTTAGATTTTAGGATAAAGCAGAATTTTGAATCCGGCCGCTAGCAAGAGTCACCTCGTTAATACATCCGGGTCATCTATTGCACAACATATTATTAATAGCAGGATCTGTATTACTGATTTTAGTGTGGACCGATTCTCTATTTTATCAAGGTGCCACTCTTTATATCATCTCAATGTTCTGGAGTCCTTATATATCAGATCCCACCAGCCTTCCCTTTGTAAACAGAGGGATTGTTTGCTGGGTCTGAATATTATTGGTCTCTAGTTTTCCTTGAAATTTTTTCCCCCTTCATTGGTCATCTTTAATTAATTTACACATCCGTTCTTTTATTTCCCAGAATAAAAACTTGAAAAGACTGAGATGAAACCGGTTGTTTTTAGCTACTAAATGTACACGATATGCCTTTTGAAATTACGCTTATTTCTTGCAATTATTAAGTTTTGTACAACAAAAAAACTTGTTTACAAATACCTGTAAAGTTATACGCAGTAGTTGCAATCCCACCTCCTTTTTCGTAGACTCCACACTCAACGCAAACATGTAACGTTGCAAATAAGTTTCATTTTAACGTTACATT